TGCTTACTTATGACACTTTTATGCGTAACACATGGCGTTGAATGTACAGTTTTACCATTTAATCTCACACCAGACCCAGTATGACGGACACTTTGTGCCTGATGTACGAGTGTTGACTGTTCTAGCACCTACCACCCCTTGAACAGCATTCAAGATTGCTTGTCCTTTCTTCTGTTGTTAGTCTTTAGACGCGTGTTTCCATATCAAAATTTTTACATACTTTGGGATTCATCTCATCAGACTGGAACTGTTCTTGACATGATTTCGAATGAGACGTTTTTCTCTTTTCTCCCATATTTTCCTGTTACTCTTTCGCATTCATCGCTTGCATTCACTTTTTATGTCTTCGACCATGCTGTTCGATAATTAATGATAAAAGGATGAAATTGGGGAACACCAGCACCAATTCTTGGAAGTATGAATTTCAACCATCAGTTTCCTACCAAAAAACGAGTATAAAGTGTCTTTCCGCGAAAACAAACACTTTGTAGACTATTTGAATTTATCAAAAGTTGTTGATCAGTGAACGCGGAATAATGCTGAAAATATGGAATTTTGTTCAATATCTAGTAAAATAATGCAGTATGAAGCCGAATGTGAAACGTTTGGGAAGCCGTCGGTAGGTTTACTGCTTTTTACACAAATACGTCATCATACCAAGTAACTACGTTACAAGATTTTTATAGATATAAAGAGAAAAGAGAACATATCAGCCAATTTAGGTTGAATTGCTATTGGGTGCTAGTTAAGTTACTTTACTTATCAGCAGTTTTTAGGACCGGTGGGTCCAGCTTTGTGTCTATTCATTCCGGTTCACTTCACTTGAAAAGCCCTGTTGATCGTTATTTGCACCTTTTGGATGAGCCAGACCTACGATGATTAATAATGGAGAGGCATTCTGGGAACTTATGTCAGGTCGGGATTTCTACTCATTTATCTGATGATTCTACGTATAATGACAACCACACAACACCAGGTGTTAGCTTGGCTTATCCAGGACCGCTTTCATTAAGTCAGCCAGTTCTACACTCTCAACTCTATTCACATTGATGACTTCCACTGCTTCAGTCATCGGCCGCTTTCGAAAGAATAGCTCTCCCCGTCTTAAGACTTCTTAAGATTTCTGCATCTATATTTTGTCCTGTACCTAACACACATATCACCATCAGTCTGACCAGTTCTTGGTATTCATCAGCATTCCTTTGTGGTTTGATTGTCCTTCTCTTATGCTCCTGGCTCTTTTTCCTACGTAAACCTTAGTGTGATCGTTGCATTTAGTTTTATACATACAGTCTCTAGCCCTTCCAACTTGGATGGTATTCTTCAGGTGCACCGAAACTGTTGGTTGTGCTTAAAAGTCTTCGAATAACCTCACATGTTACTGCTTTATAAGGAATGACCGCTGTACCACATCAGGAGTCAACACACTTCTTAAGTGCTACCTTATCGAACTCACTGGGTGTGCCTCCTTTCTCCCGATCAAACCCTTCCCTTGCTTGAACCCACTGTTTTCTACGCCTACCCTATGTATTCGGTATTTACACAACTCCTTTTTGATCCTTATAATGCCGAACCAATTGTACTAAACTTTTCAAGCGTACTTTTTGGCCCATTGAGTAGCCGCATGCTGCGCGCGCACGTCTGTGGATAATTCACATCGAGTTGCCACTCTTTCTGTGCTTTCTATGGACTTGCACTAATTCGTGCAACAATTAAACGGAAATCCCCATAATTCGGGGTTTTTGTCCTTTTCACGTGTAGTACCGCATTTGGTTGATAAAACTCAAGGCCACATAATTCTTATGATTTAGCGCGTCGCTCAGTTGGGCTTCCAGGAATACGTCACGTATTCAACACTGGGTTTCCTACTTCTCGAAGTCTGTTTGTAACCTCGATTTGAGATACTATTTGATGGGGCACTACTGTGCACGGCGCCCTCACGTCTGTGCCTGTTGTTTTCTGGTAGATATTAGTTCTAAGTTTTTCCCCAGCCTTATGTGTCACGCAGTTCAGGGAGGATAGTGTACCCGACATGGACTCTATCTCCATGACGAAAGTGATATTGGAAACCCGCTTTTAGCCACAACAATGGTGCTGTCAGCATGAACTCAAAAATCTCAGCGGACGATGAAGCCTTTTTTCAGAATCGATAATCTGCCTAGCACTAAATCTACTGACTGGTTCTCAAACTTTTCCGAAAACTGAAGTTTTTGTTCCGTGTGATTGGTACCAAAATAGCCGGTGGTTCACGTCTTTGCCAGGTGGTGTCAACCGTTTTCACATGCTGTTACGGTTCACTCAAGCTCAATTGGTGGATGATCGTGATTGTTCTGAATCTTCAAGCTAGAACTTGTTTACTCGAGATTCGCCAGGTTTGTGGGCTGTATCAAGTGATAAGTTGGTTGGGCATGTGAGGACGTCACTTTAGTAGTGGATAGCACTACCAACACGTAACAGACTACTCTAGATAAGAACGAACAATGGTAGTTTGCTTCATGAAAATATACTGTGATATCTCGAATATCGTGCCAACTGTGTGCCTGTGTGCAGCACATTCAGTTGTAGAATATCATAAATGAGAGATTCAGTTGAGTCCCTCGTGAAAACCAAATTGACTTGCACATGAATGTATTTCTCGAAAGGATCAGCTATATTGTTGGCTGTCGTCTAACTGTCGTCTAGCTGTCGTCTAGTTAGCGCGTTATTCTCTGTATAATTCGACCACAATGGGATATCAGCCCATTGATACCAATCAATCAGTGACAGAATAGCAGGCGGAAGACTTTGAAAGTTACCATATAACATGGCTTCTCGGTTTTTCACCAAAGTTGAAATTTTTGGCAGGATGAAACTTACATTGAATGTTATCTAGCAGGCTATAACGTCTCATCGTTATCCATCCCATTGAGACGCAAAATTTTGACGAAGGCGTATCTGCAATCTCTGATTAATTTCTCGGACGGACATCAGAACCTGTGCGCAAACACTCACGAAAATCAACCGGTAAAGCCGCACAACATCCAACACTAGGCTTTCTCTAGGCATGGCAACTTACAAATACATATCAAGTTCAATCCGAGCTATTATGTGCTTAGTAGAGATTGTTCCTGCCAGACTTCTCAAAAAGAAGTTAGTTGAAGAAATACTTGTTGCTGAATCTGGATCCCCATGGCAACGACAAACGTTTAAATGCCCAAACAAATTCATTCCGTGTTTCGTCCTAGTCCTACAACAATACACTGAGTAGTAAATCCAAAGTTATCTCGCCCCTCCTGTCTCATACTCCGGGTTATGCTCCACTTATCTTATCTCATCGTACGATGCCCCCAACCCTGAATTAGAGCCTAGATTCTGTCCTCTACTGTATGCGCGACGCATCGATATTGTGAGCGGAAAACACTGTCTTGGTAACCAGAATCCCGTATACGTTTCCTTCCAATGATACTCACAGACAAAGTAAGCTCATAAACTTAGCCTAATTACGTAACAGTTGAACAAATTACTAGCTGGGATGCAAGCCATATTGGTCTGCAAATGTGTTTATCGAGCGTTTCACGTGAAAACGCTTACAGAAGCTCTCTCACCATCCAGTATCCATCCATCCAGTGTCACAAGGACCAATAGGCTTCAAATCCACATAATCAACCCTCTTATCCAGCTGTTATAGCAATGTCCTACCTACACAGGCCAGGAGGAACTGCGAACGACATTAAAGTCGAATCCTCGCACTGACTGAAAGGCAGACAATAAACTCGGCTCAAACTCATCTAAGATTCTTTATTACCCATCGGTCCCAAAGCTTAACAACCCACAACATTTTTAACCCAATTCGGCCCTGATCTTGCTTGGTTACTGTAGACTAGAATAGCCTTGTTACCTAGGCACATAACCTGACGATACGCTGTGTTAATGTTGAAACGTTGTCTAGCTGTAAATCTACTGAATGTCTGTCAAAAGTGTCTCAAACAATAACTCCGCGCTTAGCGCCAGACAGTTATTTCGAAGACTTTTAATCCTCGAGTTTGATCACATACCTCAACTCGCCCGACAGGAAACACTGTTGTGAGCTCTCCAGCGTCTTAATCTCATTCTTTCAGGGTGATCTTGGGAATGATTTAACGTGTGTTCTGAATTACATCAAGCCCGTCATATTAATGGTGGTGGAGTTTTTCTCCTCAAGGAGATCAAATAACTGATTCGCCACATAGGGTTTCTTACAGTCTATGGTTTTTGTTGGCAAAACAAGGTTCTCAACAAACAAGGAGAGCTTCCAAGGAGGTGATTGCTCCATTAATATCTGACCGTGGTTCACAGTGCCGAATAAGGACAAGCCTGAACAAATGATCATTAATAAGCTGATATTCGGCCGTGGAAACCGCCTACGGATATATGTGCTGTCACGATGCTTACAAACATCAGGAATCACCCAAATTTGCACAAGAAGTACCTTGTGGTAGCTACCGATTAACAATTATCACAGGACCTGGAGGGCGTGTAGTTATTAGGAGGTGAGTAAATTCAGACAAGTTCATAGGATAGATATCTGAAACGTTACCGTTGCTTGAGGAAGAGATGTGACAACAAGGAAAGACAATATGACTACTCGAAGTAGATGTAGGATGGCCTTGATAGATATGCTGATTTCCATAACAAATCGGCGAAAAATTTGCCTTCCGTTTCTTTTTCAAAGGTGGATTATCATACAGAGGATAATTTTTAATGTCTGACTGCACTGGCACCCTAGCGTGTACCTTGCAGAAGGTCCGAATACCTAGTCTCATATTTACCATCGATACGTCAGCCTCAAATGATACACCACATGTTTGCTGTGTAAAATTCAGTGGTGTCTCCAGAAATAAGCCCAGGGGAGAGCTGATGAACTCTGAAAATATGGACAATATGCATATACTTGTCAAGCTGATGATGGAGTTAAATGCGTATACGATGTAAGCATCAAGTAAGTCAAAAGAGTATGCGTAGTTTTAGAACGCGTTCCTGTATTAAACGTAGTTAGTACGTTTTTCTAGTGGCCCATTATTGCTGGATAGCTGAGCTTGTGAGCTTGGAGCACTGCGAGAATTTTCAGTCTGTTGAATTTGACTGACTGGTAATCCAGAAACATTGTTGCTGATCATCTGCTTCATCCCAGGATGTGCCATCTGCTGTGGCTGTAGTGGTATAAAATCCACCTCATGATACGAATGTCTTGGTGATGAGATATTTTCAAACTGGTGGAGGTTCGGACCAGTGTGATCGTTGAAAATTCCGCCACCGCTATCAACGTAGCCTGCTCCAAAAGAATTTCCATCATTAAGGGTAAGCAGACAACCGTTGTTGGACAAATTCTCTTCGGCTTCTTCGCCATCAATCCAGATGTGTGGGGTGTTCAGAGAAGATAGTTTGGAAGGCGTAAGGGAGGTTAGCAGATTGTCTGTTGTTAGTGGCGATATCAGACTTGGTCTTGCTTCTCGGTCACTAAAGTCGAAACCCAACTTTGCCAATCCTGTCCAACTTCCAGTCACATTCACAATTCCATGTTCACTTTCGCGGTGCAGTTTGATAGCATCAGCTATGGATTTCCTTGCTGCCGTACTGTTGAATGTGATATGCTGATTTTCTGTCAGTGGCTGCAGAGATCCAACTGCAGAGCTATTAGAAATTCCACCATACCGGTTACCCACTCTACGACTACCAGAACCACGCGTAAAATATCGTCGCAGTGGGTCCGTGGTTACATGGAGTGCGTGTTCCAGTTTCTCTTTTAGACCTTTGTGACGTCCACGATCCCGGATATTTCGTCGATTCATCTGTTGCCTCGGTTTGCGACCAGGTAGCGGTAAGCCACCCTTCTCTACTGCGGCTCCAATACCCCCTTTTCCTCCAGATTGACCAGTTGCTTCCATGTCTTTCCTCAAAGCTTTAAGATACTTATCCTCCATCAACTGATTCTTCATGTATTTGTAGTACGTGTTAAAGTTGTTCCCAATGATTGGAATGGCTAGGCCAGTGACAATACAACCGCAAATTGCAGTAACGGAGCCGACGAAATATCCAGGACCTCCCTTGGGATGCATGTCCCCATAACCCACCGCAGTTAGTGTGATGATGGACCACCAGAATGATTCGGGGATGTTTTGAAATGTGTCAGAAATGCGATATTCAGCCATGTACATGAGGCAGGAGAACATAAACATTCCATTCATCAGGAGGAAACCCAGGAGCACCAATTCGGGAATACTTTTCTTCACAGTCAAAATGAGAACCCGGAGGATGCGAGAAATCTTGGAAATTTTGAAAATCCGCAAAATCCGCATCGCCTGCGCCATAGATAAAATGTTCATCAGCCATAAGTATCCGGATAGTTCTTCGCGTAATCTGTCATCTGTACTGACAAACATTTTTGGATGATAATAATATACGTAGAACAGACCCATATAGACCCAGTAACTAGACAAAATGATTATGTCCAAAATAGATACGATTGAGGAAAGGAACCTTGGTTTATCTGGAGCCAGTAGGACTTTGAGCATGAATTCTGCAGTAAATAGGCAATTGAGGGTGATGTCTGCTAGAACTAAACCGTTGGTCGGTTCGGTAGAACAATCCTTTTCCATTTTTGGATTTTCTGCCGACCCGCGAGGTCCGCATATGTGAAACAAGGAGGATACGTTGGAATTATTTTTCTCTCCTGCGGTTTGGTTCTTATGCGATTGAGTATTACTGGTTGTTTGGGGATAGTACGTCCGTTGCAAAGAATGAGGTAATTCACTTGGGTAATTTGTGGAAATGACTGGTTGATTGTTTGTGGAAATTGGGTTCGTTGGCAGTAGCTTGCTGTGCGTAGTATAAAGAACCGTAGAGTTCATTCGGAAGCCCTCATGTGTCGAGAGACAATAACACATGACCGACGCAATCATAAGGACCAGCAGACACGATGCCCAAATCTGGAAGGCAATAAAATGGAGGGAAGTGTTAAGTGGTATCCATCTTTGCGTAGTATTCCGCATATATAAGCCTTCCCAGTTGAGGTCAGACTAGCTGAAAATCGCCATTAAGTCCTCTCAAATTAGGTGTACTTTTTCCTCCTAAACTAGATCGAAGAACTCGGACAACTACTCAGTTTATCATGTGTAAAAAGAAGGGAAGTGTACGACATTTTGCGACCAATCGTCATAAGTTATTGAGTAAAAAAATCGAGCGATTTTCTGGTTGTTATTACTAAGTCCATAAATGTTCGCAAGCTACAGCCAGACTAAACATCTCTCAACAGTTACACCTTTTTTCTCTTGAAGTCAAGACTAATCTGTAAAGAATAATTCACTTCATTTAGAGAGGTACCGAAGTATAGCAACATCTTCTACTTCTGCTGTTTATGATCAGTCCTATCAGTAGGCGATGTGGAACAGCTTTGCCAAATATGTAATAAAACGGCAATAATAAACGACACTGATTACAATTGTTTGGGTACTTCAGAGTAAGAGCTGAAACACTGTATATAACGGCACTACGGTCCATTGAATGAATTTCTTACTGTTATTTAATTTTTATGAATAAAGTCTATTCACGCTATTTTATTACCCTATTCTACCGCGGGCTTGGAATTATTAGCATTGCGCAGCCTACAAATGATTAGAACGATCTGAACTTTCTTTCTTTGGTTAGTATAATTTTCATTAGCAGTGAACTACACCTGATAAACCAGTATTCATCAGAATATAGCACATCACGCACCATTCAAATTTCTGTCATTTGATCCGATGCTGACGGCAATTTTGAGTAACTACTTGTTGAGTAGAGGCTTTATTGGAATTGCATCATATTGTCCTTCTGTGAGCACCACTTAGAGTACCCGAATAGCTGTCGGGATTCAGAGGTATTTTCATCATCATCATCATCATCATCATCATCACCATCATCAGAGACAGCAAGACATCAGTGCTCAACAGTGACGCTTCACTGCCACATTATTTGTGTATGTGCAATTCATAGTTGTACATGGGCTTGGATAATTTTATGGCGCCTAGACAGGAGGATTATTAGGATCCCTAGCGTGAGCCCTTAACTCAAAAGCCTGACCACGAGGCAGGGGTGTTTGGCTGGAAATGTAAACATATCACTGTTCTTGGGGAATAAGTTGCCACACATGTTCCAAACCAGAACCTGGCGGACCAGGAAACTGTACTCGTCAGAGTACTAACCATTGTCCAACCCGATATGAGAGACTCTGCGAGAGTGGCGGAGGTGCACAAACCGTCACGCTACCGTAAAGCTCATTATCTTCTACCGGTAGAAAATCTTACAGACACTCTCGATATTTTACGTGAGGATTTAGCAATTAATGTCTCAGCACGTTGCTTGAAGTGCGTACCTGAAAAATGAATAGCACTGCATCATGCGTAGGTTTAGGTTGAGCGCACTGCGGAGCATATAGTAATAGCCGAATGGTACATTTGATTGCGCATTGCATCATCTTGAAGAACTTCACGGTGACCATTATCTCCCGGCTTGAGGAGAACCACCGTAAAATACTTCTAGGCTACCTGGTACACATAGACCTGACTTAGAGGATAAAAGTCAAGCTGAAGCCCAAAAATTCATCATTACCTTATCGACATCAAATTTTGTGATAAACTCCTCATGATTAATCTTCGAGCGTTTTCAAGTTAACAAATGGATCTTTACGAAGCAAACCGCATGTTGTATACAAAAAATTACATGAACTTGACGTCACTTGAAAACATTGAGCAAAGACTATTAATTTGACTGAGAAAATCTCGCACCAAATAGTTCGTTCTTTGAAACTTGGGTTGATACGGTAGTTTTCGGAGATCTTTCCTGAACAGAGACAACAAGGTAATTATTGACTTCAGTCAATAATTGAGGAACATCAATTCAGATAATTGCCAGTGGGAAGTATGGTGAAAATGCACGCATAAAAACAGTTTTTTCGCTGAAATACAGTTAGAGTTATGCCATCAGCAAATACGATTATTTTTGAAGCAAAAGAGCAACAAGTAAGTATTTAGGTAATGCCTTGGAAAGAATGCTAACCGAAGTGCATTTAGCTAACAGATTCTGTAGTACACACAGGGTTGTTCAGCTGGAGGTTTACGTAGATCTCTATCGTGTAAATATGTACATTCGTGCGGGTTTAGAAGACTTTCTAAACAACTCCGTAAAAGACAACGCTTCTTGATATGTTCTATCAAACGCTACATGCCATATGGAAATCAAACTAGCAGCTAACTGAAGCCTCAGGTTGCTGAAAATTCATCGTCGATGGATTTTCCGCAACCTTTTGTGTAGTGTATTACAAAGATATCCCTGGCGAATGTTTTATTATTGTTGTAAGTTGGCTCAGGGAACGAATGTGAGCTACGTTCGATTACTCTCCTTTGTTTACCAACATCACATAATCTGAACTACGATCTCTAAATAGACAGCTGTCAGAAACTCAAAACTTGATAATGAACATAGTCAAAGGATGGATTTCATTCATTATCACATTTCAGTATACAAAATTCTCTTAACGGAGACCCCAGCTTTTTTAAAATTTATCTGATTGTTTTACAACTTCAGTTGTTTAACACCATTCATGCAAACCAATACAATAACTTATGTGGACAGTCATTATGGGTCAACTTTACACCATATTCTTCCCCTTATATATTTGGTCACAAAGGTAAAATGTGCCTCATTGAATATCCGATTTTATTTGCTGAATTACACAATTATTTTACATGCTACGACAAGAATTTTACTTTGACTGATGATGCTATGTTTGCAAAGAAATCAACTCCTCTAACCATTTGATTCAATGATCCCTCATCAATCATGAGATAACAATACATCGCAACAGCAGTGAAGCATTGGTGTTCTCATTTGATGTTATTGTCAGTGATGAAGATGATGATGAGCAAAAGTACTCAAAATAGCGATATTCTATGAGAAGGCGTACCCAAAGGAGAACGGGAAACTTAGTATTAAGATGTACTTAACCAATTGCCCAAGTAGTACCAGATAACAAAGAATCATTTTGCGGCCCATGCATATATTCGTTTTTGATGTGTTCGTGGACGGGGTGCTGTTCCGTGGAGACATTTTCGGTGGCACCCATCAATTTGGAAGCAAAAAGCAGCGTTTCAGATTTAGATGGATTTAGATTGGAGTGGGTTTCTAGGAGGAAGCTTACGGTTTGGGACCACTGCTCAGCAGCTGTAAACAAAAATTTGGATGTTGACACAGATGGGAGAATATTGTGGCATTTCAGTACACTTCGTACTAACAGTAAAGAAGATATGGAGTTAATGAAAATCGTGGATAAAAGGGAAGTTTAGGATTTGAGTAGTGCGGCAGGAATAAGTGGAATCGGTTATAAAATGTAATAAAAAAGAATTGCATAGAATTCTCGTTTCTGTGGATTGTCTTTGTGTTTGGAAACGAGCGAAATAATGCTGGATGACTGTGCAATTAACCAATGAATACTGAAGTCGGTAGATGTGCTCAAAAGGCGAACTTGGTCTACCTTTTACACACTGACGCCTAATTCCGAACTATACTGTTTCGGATACAACCGTTGTGTGAAAAATCTGATAGCGGTCTCTGTATATGACAGAGGCAAGTCACAAGTTCCCTGAGCGTCCTTGCTTCTTTTAATCTATTAGTGCTTGATATTTGCTGTGAGTCCCAGGTGGACTAGAAATCTAGTGAAAAATAATTGCACAATGCGAAGACATCAAAGGACATCTTTACAGCTTGCTATTGGTCGGTCAGCAATTTGGTGGTTCTAACTACTCAGAAACGTGTCCTGCCGGTAAGAATTTTATTGAGTAAAATCAGAACGATCCCATCATCACAACTATGAAACAAATACTTCTAAAACGATAGAGTTACTACATTTTTCTGTACAAAGAAATGGTAGAGAAAGTGTGGGATTTTATATTTTAAATAAGCCAGGGTCATATAATGCAAAGATATGGACCAACGCTCTGGTGCAATACTTAATCTCAAATTTCCTCCTACAGAACAAGTTTTTTATCAGCTGAGCGGTTGTAGATTCTGTCTGGTTAGCACCAACTCACTTGATATCTGCATCCAATCCTTCATATATCTGTCCAAAAACGTCGATACTTGGTTGGTTTTGGGGTGACACTAGTGAACTTCTGGTATGACGTCTGCAACATCCAGTAACCGGTTTGAGCTGCCCTAAGTAAGTCGGCGGTTTAAATAGAAAACCAAGTATGCATAGCGGAGATAAATCGACATATGCTATGGGGACGGGAAACCGCAAACTAGCATCTGAGCCTAGAAAGTGCCAAAAACCTCTTTATGCAAGTAATAGGCTTTGAGTTGAATTTCGCACTCAGGGCCCGGCATTTCGACCGCATTTTGTTTAGTTTGGTTCCCGTTCATGATTATTCAGTTTTCTATTTGCCTGACATCACCATACATAGGTACTTATATTAGACGTGAGATACCGGTCGGGGCAATTCAAATGGTCTATGGTTCATGTCAAATTTAGTTTTCCGATAAGGACCACTGTAACCTTTATGTGCCTTTTGCGTCCGAAAACCCAATAAACTGTTTGCACTGTAAGTGAAGCGACTCGCCGTTCTTTGTACACGTGATACTGCATTGCGGAAACTGAATTAAACATTTACTGCTTAACTGAAACACAGGAAGCGAATTTAAGTTCCTCTCATGTATTTCCAAGTAATGATTCACTGTCGGCATGACATGCAAAAGTACATTATAAATCGGCGAACTGTTAGAATTCTAAACTAATGTGAAAATGAATTAAGAAAGCACTCGTCGCAATCATGGTGTTCGAATTACACCTAATCGTAGACTTTCGCTGCATGTAATAAATGCTGGAATTTTTGTCTCATTTGCACAGTGCAGTTAACACTTGACCAATGCTATCGGTCAATCACGTGTTCAGATT